TCTCTGGCCATTTTCAAGATTTTCTCTTGGTCTTCACAGTTTTCTGTGTTTGAACATGATATGCTTAGGTGTATTTTTTTGGTATTTATCCTCCTTTGTGTTCTTTGCTTGGATTCTGAATCTGTGGTCTGGTGTCTGCCATTAATTTTGGGAAATTCTCAGCCATTCTTACTTCAAATATTTCTTCTGCTCCTTTCTTTTTTTCTTTTTCTTCTGCTCCTTTCTTCTTCTGCTATTCCAATAATGTGTATGTTACACCTTTTGAAATTGTCCTTGAATATTGTTACTTTTTGTGTGTGTGTGTGTGGTACGTGGGCCTCTCACTGTTGTGGCCTCTCCCATTGCGGAGCACAGGCTCCGGACGCGCAGGCTCAGCGGCCATGGCTCACGGGCCAGCCGCTCCACAGCATGTGGGATCTTCCCGGACCAGGGCACGAACCCGTGTCCCCTGCATCGGCAGGCGGACTCTCAACCACTGCGCCAGCAGGGTAGCCCCTGTTACATTTTTAAAGTCTTTTTTAAATCTCTTCATTTCACTTTGGGAGGATTCTATTGATGTATCTTCAAGCTTACTAATTCTTTCCTTGGCTGTATGCAGTCTGCTCATGAGCCTATCAAAGGCATTATTTCTTTTTCTTTTCTTTTTTTTTTTTTTGGCCATGCCGCATGGCTTGCGGGAATCTCAGTTCACTGACCAGGGATTGTACCTGGGCCATGGCAATGAAAGCCCAGAATCCGAACCACTAGGCCACCAGGGAACTCCCAAAGGCATCATTTCTGTTATAGTGTTTTTGATTTCTTGCATCTTTCTAGAGTTTCTATCTCTCTGCTTACATTATCCATTTGTTCTTAACATGTTGTATACTATTTCTAACAGACTCTTTATCATATTAATTATAGTTATTTTAAATTCCATATATATGATCATTCAAAAACTTATGTTGTATCTCAGTTTGGTTCTGATGCTTGTTTTGTCTCAAAACTGTGGTTTTTCTTTTAGCATGCCTTATCATTTCTTTTTTGTTGAAAACCAGACACGATGCATAACATAATAGAAACTGAGATAAACAAGTAATTAATGTGAGGTTTTATGTTAATCTGGCTAGAAGCTGGGCTGTGTTTAATGTTTACTCTAGCTGTAGGTGTCAGAGGTTTTTCAATTTCCTCTAATGTCCTTGTTTTTGTCTCCCTTGTTTTCTTTGGGTTTCCCTAAAAACGTCTTAGAGTCTGAGCCTTGCAGGTCTTTCGACTGTAATCCACAGTTAACGTACTGAAGCCCTGCTGATGTGGTAGTAAGGTGTGGGGTATGGGAAAACATTCTGCAATCCTATAATTAAGTTTCAGTCTTTTATTGTGCCCATATACCCAGCCTGTAACCTTCACAAGTATTTCACAGCTTTTATTCTCTCTTAGATGAGACAGTAAGGCTAGAGGAGCCTGGAGTTGGATAATTTCCCTTCTCCCACACTAGAGAAGGCTTTGGTAAAGTTGTTTTACTTGCTGGATAGCTCTTTGTTAAGTAGAAGATCTGGATGTATTTCAAGTTGATTACTTTTCCTATCACCATGCCAGGAGCAGGAGACTTTTTCTTGGCTCTTCACACTGAGAACCCAGTGGAGTTCCTGAAGGTAAAAGTCATGAAAATGTGGGGACCCCCATAGACTGTGGCCCCCAGGAGTTTGTTACTCAAACACTAATCTACACTCTGCTCCCTGCAATTTGTCAAAGTTACCACTTAAGTGTTCCTACCAGTTTATGGCTCTAGTGCTTTCTGCTCCTGAAAAGCAGATCTGGACTGTCATTCTTTGTAATTGCCTGTCTCTCCAGATTTCAGGGTTGCAGTTTGCTCTCTGATGTCAAATCCCTGATGGGTCCAAGAAAAGTCATTGATTTTTAGTTTGTTCAGCTGTTCTTCCTGTTCTAAGAGAGCAGTGATGACTTCTAAGCACTTTACTTGTTGGCACTGAAACCCGAAGTCTGCAACAAACATTTTTCATTCAATATTGTTTGTGAGTTTCATCCATGTTGATACCTGTAGTTCTATTTCATTCATTTTTTCTTCTGTATAGTATCCTATTTTATGAATATACCATGCTTTATCCATTCTCCTGCTTATGAACATGTATGTTGTTCATAAACAATGCTACTATGAGCATCCTTATAACATCTAATGTGCATGTGTAAGAGTTCCCCTAGGATAGATACCAAGAAGTGGGATTACTGACTTACAGTGTATGAGCATCTTTCATTTTACTAGATATTGCCACAATGTTCTTGAAAGTGGCTGTACTCATTTATATTCACCCAGTGGTATATTAAGAGTTCTTACTGTTCCATACGTTCACCAATACTTGGCACAGTCAGGGCTTTAAATGTATGCCAACATCCTGGGTGTTAAATGGTATCTCATTGTAGTTTATTTTGCATTTCTTTGATTACTAATGAGACTTTATAAGTTAATTGTCCATTCATGTTTTCTCCCCTGTGAATTGCCTGTTCATATCTTCTGGCCATTTTTATTGGGTTGTCTCTTTTTCTTATTGATTTGTAGGGAA